GTTCCGCCAACAACAACAACAACAACAAAAAAGAAGGTATTTCTGCCAAGTCTTTTATACCATATCAGCTTGAGACACAGGGAGTAGCCTTTATGATCTCCAAATATGTAACTTCCACAAGCAAAGTCAGATGAGAAATAAACTTCATATAAACTGACTTTTCTTCTAAAACACATATCAGTGTTATCTGCCCTCCCTACTACCTAAAGAAAGAGAAATTAAATAGCATTCTGAAAGGAAAATCTTTGTCTAAAAACCTAAATAAAATGTAAATAAAGGCCTTTATAAACATGCTTCAAGTCTCTTCCTGCAAAAACAAAGGGAAAAATATGCTATCATACTCAGAACTGGAATAACAATTAGAAAAGCAATAGAATTAGTGTGCTGAGCATCCTTTATTATATCTGAGCTTTTGTGCTCAAGATGATATTTCCTAGGAAACCAAAAACCTCCCAGGCACAAATATTGTGAAATAAAGTCCCTTGAACTGTTGTGTTCTAAATCTTAACTAAATATTAAGAAATCAAGGGCTTTCTAAGATCTTCAAAAACAAAAGCAAATACAAGCAAGCAAACATAAAATAAAGAAAATCACTTTCCATTAACCCAGACCACCCCAAAAATAAAGTTCATGGGAACAAAAATGATTAATCATTACCAACCCCCCCCAAAAAATACAGTAACAAAAATACACCGCTAACAAAATCCTCAATTCAAACCAAAAACATTAACAGTGGGATTGAGTTCTGATACATCAAGAGTTTTCAGGGGCTGGTGAGATGGCTCAGTGGTCTAAAGCACCTACTTAGAACAAGCATAGCAAAGCACAGGGACCACGGTTCAATCCCCCAGCACCACATGCCAGCCAGCCCGCCCCCTGGTGGGCTGAGCTGCCCCCCCACACACATAAATAAAATAAAAAATAATATTTTTAAAAAAAGAGTTTTCAGTCACTGTTTGTATCTCTTCATTTTCTACCCTCCCTTCCTTTCTTGTTATTCCTTTTAAACATTTTACTTATTTATATAATTAAAAAAAGAGAGGAAGATACAAAAGAGGTTATTTTGAATTGGAAAAATATTGGACATAAATATTTGAAAGAAATAAGACATTAAAATAGTCAATATTTAAAACTGTTGAAGTTTTACCAAATAGAACTCCTGCAAAGAACAACCAGAATTAACAGAAGTCAAAGATGATATACTTGTTTAGATTGAAAATGTTAAGAAATACACAAAGTAATTACACAGATTAACAAGGGATTTAGGATAAATATCAATTTTTTATATACTAGAAACAAGTAACTATCAAAATAACACAAAGTCCATTTATAAGATCATCAAAGGGGCTGGGGATATGGCTCAGGAGCATAAGCACCTGCCTGGCAAGCACAAGGTCCTAAGTCTCATTCCTAGTACTGCAAAAAAAAAAAAAAAAAAAAAAGTTACTAAGATCATCAAAAACAAGTATTTCAGAATAAACTGAACAAAGATACATGCTTAAAACTATAAACTATGGTTAAAAGTAACAAAATATCTAAATAAATGGAGAGAAGGATCATGTTTATGAATTGAAAGGCTCAACTTTTTTTTAAGCGGTCCGCTGTGCTCATGTAGATATACAGATTAGATATAACACCATATAAAAGTCACCAAGGGCCAGCCAAATAGCCCAGTAAATTAAAGCGCCTGCAAGCAGGCACAGAGGATGGGGTTCAATCCCTGGGCCTGCCATGCTATCTCCATCCCCAGGGTACACTGAGATGGCAAATGACATTGGGCATGGTAGTGCATGCCTGTAAGCCCAACTGTTAGGAGGCTGTAAACAGGTGGATTACTACAAGTACGATCTAGTAGTGAGACCCTGGACACCCTGTGGACCCTTCTCTAAAATACAAAAAAAAAAAAAATGTCCCCAAACATGTTTACAACTCAAGGTGCTCTACCCCACCCACATACAAATACTACCACCTTTGGTACTAGGGATTGAACTCAGTGTCTTGCAAATGCTAGTCAAGAGCTCTACCGCTGAGCTGCATGTTCAGTTTTTAAAAAAAAAAAATTTGAGATGAGTTTTGTTAAACTGTCTAGGCTGGCCTCTAACTTGTGCTCGTCTTGCCTTGGTTTCTGAGTAGTTAGGAATACAGATGTGTACCACCATACCTAATTTATGATTATAGAATTTATGTGAAAGCACAGATAATCTAGATTACCAAATCTATTATAGGAAAGAATAACAAAACTAAAGGACTTATATTACCTGATTTCAAGATTTACTATTAAAGTTATTATGAACAAAACAGTGTTGTATTGACAAAGGACAGATGTATAGTAATAGTCCAGAACAGTGAGTACAAATATCAACACAACCATGTTCAACTGACTTTTGACAAAGGTGCAAGGCAAATGATGGGGTGGGGAGTTGGATATTCCTATGGAAAAAATAAATATCATCCTCACTTCACAACATATATAAAATTAGCTAGAACTTTATCTTGACATATACTCAAACAGAAAAACAAAAATTATAGCATTTCTAGATGTCTGAGGAGGATGAGGCAGTAGGACCATTGAGAGTTTGAGACTAGTCTGGGCTACAAAGTGAGCTCAAGGCCAGCCTGAACTGCACAGTGAGACCCTGTCTCAAAAAGAGCAAAAAAAGAAAGAAAGAAAGAAAGAAAGAAAGAAAGAAAGAAAGAAAGAAAGAAAGAGAAAAAAAACCTGAAAAAATTTCTAAATGAAAAATGTTTTAGAAATAAGTTAGACAAAAGAGCATAAGACAGGAAATGAAAAAGCCATTTTTTAAAAATTAAACTTGATCACCATATTAATAAGATTTTGGATAACTGCAGAACAGGGAGGCTGTTCTTGACAGGAAAGTACAAGGCAGGGCGGGGGAAGTTGTGCCAAGTGCAGGGTTCCTGAGTTTTGATCTAAGGATGACTTTCCTGGACACAGTGATGTTCCCGGGCCAACCCGTCTTTACATACACTTCTGCTAGTAAGTTTACAGCCAAATTGCAAAGAAAGGCAACTATCAAATCCACTTGGACTTTATTTCATAAAAGTCAAGGCCATCTGTAGAGACATCTTAATGAAATGATACAGAGCGGGCCAGGAATATAGCTTGGTGGCATAAGTGCCTGCCTGGCAAGCACAAGGTTCTGAGTTTGATACCTGGTATCAGAAAACAAACAAAAGAAAAATAAAAACAAAAAAGGAAAAAAAAAGAAAAGAAAAAGAAATGATAGAGTCCACAGAGAAATCAGCATGCACCGAGGCTTACTCTTTATGACTTTCCATACATTTTCCACATTCACTACTCACTGCAATCCTCTCATGTAAATATTAGCCCCATTTTTTCCTTCATGGAAAGCGGGGCTCTAAAAGGCCTAGTCTCATTTGCCCTAATTCATGAGCTAATAAAACAGACAGCTAAGATTTCCATATTTGAGGTACTTTAATTGATATTCATATAGACAAATTTCCATATACACAAAACTAAAGAGAATGTGGGGAGTGAACTTTCAATTCAAGCATTATTTATTTTTGCATTATCCAAAAAGTATACTGTTAAATACGCAGATGATATTTTGTCATGGTCTTCCTATTAGGCAAACAATTCACCTGCATCTTCAAAGAATATACTCTATTTTAAAAGAAAAAAAAAGGTCACATGAGCCCCTAGAAAGTATCCCTAAATTTAGGGAGAATTAGTGCTTGTTAGGAAAAATCAGATGTGTGGCATATCATTGAAAAAAAAAAAAAAAAGCAAGGTACTAGGCAACATTATCTTTAGGTAACTGGAAAGTTAACACCAAGTTAAACACTTAAAACACAAAAAACTTAAATTGACTTATAGTCAAGTCTCAGAAACATCAGATGCTTCCAAATTGGACATTTTAAAAGATGTACATTGGGCCGGGGAGATAGGTCAGGCATAAGAGCCTGCCTGACAAGTGCAAGGTCCTGCTGGTTCACTAGTACCTAAATAAATAAATAATCATAAAGTGTCATCACTTACTAAAATATTTTAAAAACATTTTAAATAAACACATTAGTAAACATTTATTTGCATTCAAACATGATCCCAAGTTAATGTGTTGTTTAAATATTCATAAGGAAGAGAAGAATATATGGAAAATAAATTATTAGCCTAATGGTTAGTTCTTCTGCATCCCTTTGGCAATTCAAAGTCTGAAGAATATCAATAATAAACAATGAAATTATGTGTATATTTTGACCAACAAAAGTCCTCCTCGGTCATAAGCTCAGTAATGCAGTGTTCCAGTTTATTCACTTAGGTTGTGATAAAAGCTTATTATTCTGTAGCAGTTTCCACCTCTTAATTCTAGTAAATGTTCTGACACATTCCAGAAATCGTTACCCTTAGCATAAAGCTTTTATCCAAGTGGGGAGGCTCATTTCATCTAAAACTTTAAAAAATACACATTCAAGTAATCTCTTCTGTGAATATTTGGATTTTTAATTTCTTCCCTGTTCAGGAGGCAACCTTCAGTGTGACTGCAAGGCAGAGATAATCTAAGAGGGTGACAGTGTCATGGTCTGATCCCATGTGCATTTATCTGCCAGAGAAAGAAGAGAAGGGAAGGAGAAGAACACACAACTGCCACCTGCTCACCCCCCTGGCATCCCCAGAAGTGAAGGCAAGGGTGCGAGTTTCTCCTGGAGACAGGAGCAAAGCATACTTCACAGTGAGCCTGCTGGATGTCTTCAGGTGGGAACATTTGAACCCAGCTCCTGAAAAGAAGATAGAGACACCATGCAGAGTAGGATGTGCGGTGTGGCCCAGCAGCTGCAGACTCCATCCCGTGAGTTGATTCCTGTACACAGCACAGGGTCTCTGGACAGCTCCGGCCTCTGCAGTGCCCATAGACCTCACCACTCCCTATTTGTCTGGCCCTCCACCAGGACATGCACTGATTTAGGTATTGGAATTTACAGCCCTGTTTGACAGCCATCAATTAAACAAAGGTACTTACAGCTGCATGACCAGGTACAAGTGATTTGGGCTTTCATAAATGTCTTCCAGAGCAACAATATTTTCATGCTTAATCCTGAAAGAAAAAAAGAAAGTGCACATAAAGTGGTAAGTACAATTAATATAAAAATTTTAAAAACAGATGCTAATATATAGAAAGTTGTAAGACAGACTCTAAACTCCTTGATGAGACATATGAGACTCTTTACAATCTTGTCTCTAAATCTTTTCCAGACTCAGTTCCTAATATTTTTGCCTTGATTTCTGCTATTCTTCGTTTGTGAGTTCTACAGCTAACAGTTAGCAGCAGCCAATTAGCTCCTGTTGCTTCATGTATATCTCAGAGGCCAAATCTCTCCACATCCTGTGATCCTGCGGGACCCACCTCAAGCGGCTGAGCCACTGGGTAAATCACCCAGCTCCCTCTTCTTACTGTTGCCTGCTGGCCACCACAGGGGTATGGAGTCTGTGGTGAGACCAACCATCTTCCAAAGCAGGGCACTTGATCTAGGGACCAGGTTCATGGTCACATTCAGGAATCTAGTAAAGGCAAAGGAACCATCTGACCCCTAATTGGAATCCTTCTCCATCCTACCACCAAATGTCAGGTCAGTTTCCTAGACCAGCACCAAAGTATGGCTCTTCACTGCCAGCCCTTGCATATCCTGGGAGCCTGGAAGAAATGCAGGTTCTCAGGCCCCACCTGGGATGTGCAGTCAGAATCACTGAGGGCAGAGTCCCATAGTCTACTCTAATGTGAGCCTTGTAAGATCTGTACACACAAAGCAAAGCATCTAAAATACTGCATTAGACCAGTGCTGCAAGGGAATGGCCTGGGGATTGGGTTCCAGTGAAGGTTCTGCTTCCGTGGGCTGAAAAGCATAAATAAATAAATAAATAAATAAATAAATAATAACAATAATTTTTAAAAAGTAAGTGGCCTGTGCATCTGCACTTTGCAAGGACTACAAGGCAATGCAGATGATTCTGGGCTGAGGACCACCCTCTAAGTGGCAAAGTCCTAAAAAAAAAAAAAAAAGCAGCCAAAGCAGCAGGAACAAGCCTAATCCTAGCCCCTAGAACTATCCACTAAGAGCAGTTTCTACTCAGAACGTAAGGCGTGATATTTACTTAATGCATGTGAGGAGAATCATTTTAATATTCAATGAGCTAATTAGCTCTTATTACAAGCCCTTCTCTGAAATGACTGCTGAACCATTTAAATTAACAAGCAGAGTCTCGCAAACTCCTTGAAAAGTAGAGACTAAATGAATCATTTTATTTTCTCCTTGTGCCTAGCACAAATCTGCCTAATTAGTGTTTGCTGAATGAATGAATGATATTTAAAGGTTGTTGCCACTGAACAGCAAGGAGCACCCCGTATTTCCTTGGGGGAAATACAGGCAGTATTCCTACGTAAGAGATGTCTTCCTCAAAGGAAATGCACAAGGTGGAATGAACTAGATTATTATCTTGCTTCTGTGTTGAAAGAAGAGAGCAAGATAATCAACTAAAAGTGGCAGTGCTTTGCTTTGATTTCTACAGCTCTTATTAGTTAATTCAGTTGTTTTGCTGGGGCTGAAATAATTACACTAAATTCACTCTACACTTGATTCCCATGCAGCGCACATACTCATGTGCTTTCAGCAGTGGTTACTGCACAGCCTGAGCAAACTAAGATCAGCAATAACTTGAATCAATGTATCAAATAAACTATGCCCCCAAGGAAACTGGGGAACCACAATGGGGGGTTTCTTACATCCTGGACATTTGTGGCAACATTAAGGCACATAAATGAAAGAATATGACCATATGTGGATTTGTCCATCTCTGCACATTTCAAAACATTTGCCATGAGAACCACTCACATAGACACAGATATTTTCATTTAGTCAAACTAACTGGGGGCTTCCCTGGGAGCCTAGATTTAGGGGGAGATAAGAACGGAGGCCTGGCTACACAGAACACAGGGCATACAGTGAGACTTGAATTCTAGGTAAAGAACATACAGTATTTAGTCTAAGTGCATCCCAGGAATCACACTGCTTAATGGCAATTCGTTAAAGTAACTAAGCATTTGGCAGGTTCATGTGCTGCATCTGGTCACCAGTGGGCCAATCTCTGAATGGGGATTAGAAATTAGTGCCCTGCTCCTCTGGGAAGTTAGGCCAAGAAAGCTGTATGAGTGCTACAGCTCAGCCATTTATTAATAATATACCTTCAATTTTACACAAAGAATCAAACTGTGTACAGAGCATTTGCCAAGCCAAAATGACAGAATCAGAGGAATTATGACCACAAGCTCCTCCCCTCCCTCGATGCACAGGACAGAGAAGTCAAAGCCTATTCAACCCACTGGGTCTCCCATGGGTGGTAACCAGAATTCGCTCCAATCCAATGAAGCACTTTAAAGAACTGCAGACCGCAGAATGTTACAATGGCTCAAATGATGCTATTTTATTAATTATTCCTTGGAACTAATGTATTGAATTAAGCAATCCAGCATGGTCACCCACGAGTTTCCACTGTATGTCTGGGAGAATGCAAGGAAATGTAAGTTTTCACACTCAAAAAGTTTGCCATTTAACAGAGAAAACCATGAAGCAATCAGGAAAGAGTTAAGTGTTAAACTCTATGGAGTTAATGTTCTTTTTTATTTTGTTTTTAAAAATTAATTTTATTGAGAAAGAAATAGCAATGAGACAGTTTCAAAACAGGTTAGTAGGACACTTACAATA